CTATTACAGTTATTACTGGGTTATTTTTCCTTATACATGTTGTTGTTGTTGTTATGTGCTGTCAAGGGTATAAAATATATAAAGCCAAGAAATACCATAGCAATCATATCATGTACAATATTTCTTCTTCAAAATTCTGGAGCATACACTGAATTATTATAATGCCTGAAAAAAGTCTATAACCCCATGACAGTAAACTCATAACAATGAAGAAAGTCTCTAGATAGTTGTTTCTCCTTTTCTATCCCTGGACAGCTTACCTATAGCCAGCAAAGCATCTTCAAAGCTACCAGATGTTTCAGATTTAATACTCTGTTCAATATCCTTCTGTGATATCCTTTTGTATTCATCAAACACTGTAAACAGTAACAAAACAGCATTATAAATAATAAAAAATACAGAAGAAACAAAAATTTACTAAAGGGATGGGAATCTCTTAACTACACAATACTAATTATATTTTAAAGTATTAAAAAACAATAAGATGTGCCTAATCTTTTTTTTTTTCTCTTCACAGTAAAGTGCATGAGGAACAAACCAGCATGATATTTTCAGTCACCTCAGATGCATGTGAAAGTTGAACAATGCATAACGAAGAGCAAAGAAGAAATGATGCCTTTGAATTATCACCAAAGTGATACCTTTGCTCTTTAGCACTTCTGGTAAAGTAGAGTGTCCATGAAAAAGGAAGACCATCAGTGAGATGGACCGACACAGGGCTGCAATGACAGGCTTCATTAAGCCCAGCAGAGACTGTGAGGATGGCTGAGGACTGCTAGTGTTTCCTTCTCTTCTATGTAGGGTTACTGTGAGTTACAGTCGACTCACAATGATGACATTTGACAACAGCACTATTTAATTGTTGTTGTTGACTGCCGTCTAGTTGAGGAAGACTCATAGCAACCCTATGAACAAAAGACATAATAATGCCTTTCTATATCTATCATAGTTTCTCCAAGTTCATAGAGTTTCATAAGCATGTGGTTTAGGAAGTGGATGCCACTCCTGCTTCCAAACCTATCTTATAACTGGGAGCTCCAAACACTGCCCACATTAGTAAACTATTATGATATTTGATACCACAATGGCACAAGGTTCAGCATCACAGCAACCCGAGATTACCTCAGTACAGCAAGTTGACAAAGAGTGATGTACAGAGTAGAAGAATGATCTTCCAAAATAGAACAACACAAGTATCACTGAGCTTAAGTGTCGTTAAGTCGAATACGACTCACAGAGACCCTATAAACCAAAGACCCAATCTCTGTTTTATAATTAATGTCATTTCTTTAACTGTTTAATTATTGGCATATTTAAAGAGCAAACTTATTAGGAATGTGGGAGGAACTCAGAAAGGTAATGGAGCAGTGGAAGAAGGGGTATTGATTCTGTGAATCTTGGAGAACATCAGGTAAGTTCCTTCTTTGTCAGTCCCCGATTTTCCACACCTAAAATGAAGATTACATTTGGAGACATTTGTCGCTTTTTTCTCATTGCTTCCTAAATAAGCACTATGTGTGTTTTTGTAATTTTGGATTTGGCAGTCACCTATTTATTTTCCTTTTGGTTTATTCTAGAGTAATTAAACTTCTTCAAAGCCGAATCACATTTGGTATCAGCTGACAACATCTTTTTTTTTTTTAATTTTTTTT